ATAAATTCTTTGGTTACTCTCTCCCCCTCCACCCACCCGCCCTCCTCCATCCCTCTGACATTTGTCAGTCTCATCCATGCTTCCATGTCATTGAATCTATTCTGTTCATCAGTTTATTAAGCTCTTTAGATTCCACATATAAGTGAGATCATGTGATGTTCGTCTTTCTCTGCCTGGCTTATTTCACTTAGCATAATATTCTCCAGGTCCATCCATACTGTCCCAAAGGGTACAGGAACCTTCTTCTTTATAGCTGTGTAGTATTCCATAGTCATATAACAATAATTTTAGATACTTATAGTACTATTTAAGATGCAAGTGATTATGTAATGATTTCTGTCTGGTTTTGCATTATTTGTTCATAAATTTAGGACACAGAAGAGGTCTGAAAAATGTATGTTTTGAATAAAATTTAAATTCTTTGACATATTAAATATCATATGATGGGTAGCTTTTTTTTTTTTACATTAGACTTTCAAAAGGCACATTTAGCAGTGCACTGGAAAAGGTGACTGGTCCCAAGGTCACAAATGTCATCAGCCCTCCATCTCTGTCCTCTTGTTGGCTTCCCCCCTAGGCAGCTTTCTCCATGTGATGCTTCCAGGAGCTATATCCTGATTCTCACCAGCTTCCAATCTGGCAAAACAAGAGCTTGTTTTTGGCAACAGAGCTTATTTGTCTTTCTTAGCTGTGTGCCCATTACTGAGACATTTCTTGTAGTGAGAGAGAGAACTACTCTGCTTGACCAGAACCAAATGACATGCCTCCCCCAGAGCTGGGAGAATTGGAGAGTGTTGGGGAACATGAGAGGTGGGCAGGAACTTGACCTGCAACCTATAGACTAAGAAAAGGATAGAGATAATTTCCAACAGGAAAACTGTGCTGCCATTACCAGAAAGTGGGCTAATACATGCAGAGCTAACAAAAATATAAGAGATAATCTCTGTAGAGGAAAACAAAGAGTGAGCAAAGGATTAGTTGTGCCTTAATCCTTTAGATACATGTTTTTCAAACTGTATGTATCACATTGGATAAGATATGATAGGAGAAAATGAACAGAAAATGCAGCAGGCATCTCAGGCATATATGATCATGTTCATTCTCAATGTAAAATATATTTCTTATTGTAGGTCAAAGTGAAAAGAGTTCAAAAGCTGCTTGTTTTAATATTGACTGCAATCATTGCCTTCAGACATCCTTCATTTCTGAATTTCTGACTATGCTACCATTTTAATCCTAGAGTCCCATTCCAACTTATTAGCACCACTTTTAATTCCTCTTACTAAAATGTCATCATCAGCATATAATTACACTAAATTTTAATAGGAATTTGTAAGTTTTACTTTGAAATATTAAGCTATCCCCACCACCAGTTTTCAAGTAACAATTCCACACATATATTCACTCATTCAACAAATAATTACTGAGTAATTTGGGGGCAACATTTATATATACAAGTTTTAATAAACTGTGCTCTATGTAGATATTAGTGCAGAGATATATTGATTAAGGTCTGGTTGGAAAATTGCACTGAAGTCTGAAGGAATCTCCTGGTCACAAAAGTATTGGAAGGGAATGAAAGAGCCAAATATGGAATGATGGTACAAGCCAGTGTCCGTGGAAAACAGAAATAACCAGGCATGTCATCACCGGAAGCAATTTATTCAGGAAAAATAAAGGATCGCAATCCAGAATACGCAGACATGGTGAGCCATGTGTACACACTGCCCTCAGACGAAGATGCAGAAGGGCCCTATAGAAGGGAAAATGAAATCAAGGGGAGGGGCAGTTACAACCACAGAGTGTTGTAAACGTAGAGTTCTTCCTATAGGGTTTTCATGATGGCCTAGGCTGCTTTTATTTGAAATTATACTGGAGGGTCTGTTCAGGGCAATCAGGCAATGAAAGGAAATGGCGATGTAAAAATTGGAAAGGAAAAAAAAACACTAGATATTAAAGAAGATATTAACACACACACACATACACATATACACACAAACATAGAGTGTGTTACAACAGAAAAATGACTTCTAGGATTAAAAATATATGAAAGCACAAAAATCAAGAGGGAGCCAATAGTTAAAGTGTTCTAAATTATTTATATTTTGGGGGATTTGGTAAAAACCACTAATTAATATTAGATATTAATAAATCAATAATGCCTAATGTAATATATAAGAGAAGTCATGTATAAGCCAGTCAGAGAAGGACAAGTGCCATATGATCTCAGTTATATGTAGAATCTAATGAACAAAACAAACTGATGGACTAAACAGGACCAGAGGCACGAGTACCTGGAACAGACTGACAGAAACCAGAGGAGAGGTGCGTGGGCCAGGCAGGATGAAAGAAGGTGAAGGGATTAGTGAAAGAACATACAAGCATAGTCCCTGGACACAGATGACAGACGACAGTGTGGTGATGGCTTGGG